CAGAGTCCTTTCCATTAGGGATCTTTGATAAAGAACTACCCCAAATAAGTGAAATATAAAATAATACATATTTTGACAGCGGCCAGATTGGCTTTTGCACAATGTTGGAAACAGCCTCATGTTCCATCAGAGGAGATGATTATTCGAAAAATTTCAAGTTGTGCAGAAATGGACAAATTAACCTTGGCATTAAAAGATAAAGACACTTCAATATATTACGACAGTTGGAGCTGCTGGTACAAATGGATAGACCAAAGATAGGTTTCACACCAAAAGGCAAAAGAAGATATGATAGAATCATAGTAGTGATATACAGATATATGTAAGGATTAATTGTGTATATGGCATAAAATAAGAATAAAAAGGAGGTCTCACAAACTGTTGAAGATGAAAATGTTTTTAATTGTTTTCTATCTTTTTCTTTCAATTCTTTTTTTTTCTTGTTTTCTTTTTCTCTCTTGCATTTATGTATGTGTTGTTGGTCTATTTTAATTGTAAAATCAATAAAGTATATTTTAAAAAAAGGAATGCTTTATGAGTTGACAGCTGATACTCGGAGCCAAACTTTGCCTCAGAATAGGAATATGTGGCCATTCTGATGCGTTTTTGTCATGCCCTTGGTAGAGTCAGACTCTGAGGGGGTGGAGGAACAGCCAACAGGGAGTGAAGGTGTGGCTCGGGAGGTTGTGTTCAGGTACTGCAGGTCCCTACCCGCTTCATAGGATGAAGCCCCAGGGGACAGGCATGTCTCTAAACTGGAAAGCTTTAGCAAGAGGTTGGGATGATATAACAGATTTCATTTTTTTCCATTGTATACCCACATGCTTTGTTTTGTTTTTAATCAGTAGAGTCTCTGGTTATATCCTTTTGGTACGCTCAAAAAGTCCTTTGAAGAGCTTCCTGGGAAGACAACATCAGAAGATGAACAAGGGTGAGCTATCAACCTCAGCTTTCTAAAACCAAAGAATGGTTCTCTGTCTTTGAATGGTCTGCACATTGCACTAGGTCACCGTTAGTTTTAATAAAATAAGGAAATGTAAAGGTTCCCCTCGCACATACATGCTAGTCATTTCCAGCTCTAGGGGACGGTGCTCATCTCCATTACAAAGCTGAAGAGCCAGCACTGTCCGAAGACGTCTCCGTGGTCATGTGGCTGGCAGGACTAAACGCCGAAGGTGCACGGAACGCTGTTCCCTTCCCACCAAAGGGGTCCCTAATTTTCTACTTGCATTTTTTACATGCTTTCGAACTGCTAGGTTGGCAGAAGCTGGGACAAGTAACAGGAGCTCACTCCGTTACATGGCGCTAGGGATTCGAACTGCCGAACTGCCAACCTTTCTGATCGACAAGCTCAGCGTCTTAGCCACTAGTAAAATACCTTTATTCAAAATCTTGAGCCATAACGAAACAAGCCACATGATGCTTTCGTGCAATGCAAGGCCCAGATTTCTATTTACCTCAATGCCATCAGCTGAGATGACGAGTGCATGGAGAAACTGGCCAGAAGCAGGACTGTCTCTCCTACGATGGCAACCACAATGCATCTCCATCTGGCAAGGACATCTGCCCTTTTGGGTTGCATCTCCAAGACTGCAGCCAAGCACAGTTTAGTAGGGCCCGTTCTGTTGCACCAGCTGCCTTGCTGGGCTTAGAAGCAAAAGGGATTCTCTTAGCAACTGGGCAGATTAAGGAAGGCTGATTAAGGCCTGTCCAGATCTGCAATTCAGCAGAGTCAGTAAACAAAGAATTAACAAAGGAAGCTGATCCCCTACCCACACGCTCCATTTCTCTCCGTCTGAGTTTTTAATTAATAGTTAAATGTGTTCAACTAAAAGAACAAGCTGTATAAATTTGATAAATAAATAGAACAAAGAATGATTGGGGGATAAAGATGGTTGGGGGACTGGAGGCTAAAACATATGAAGAATGGTTGCAGGAATTGGGTACGTCTAATGTACAGAAAAGAGGGACGCGGTGGCTCAGAGGCTAAGACACTGAGCTTGTCGATCAGAAAGGTCAGCAGTTCAGCGGTTCGAATCCCTAGCACCGTGTAATGGAGTGAGCTCCCGTTACTTGTCCAGCTTCTGCCAACCTAGCAGTTTGAAAGCATGTAAAAATGCAAACAGAAAAATAGGGACCCCTTTGGTGGGAAGGTAACAGCGTTCCGTGCGCCTTCGGTGTTTAGTCATGCCGGCCATATGACCACGGAGACGTCTTCGGACGGCGCTGGCTCTTCGGCTTTGTAACAGTGATGAGCATCGCCCCCTACAGCCGGAAATGACTAGCACACATGTAACATTTACCTTTACCTTAGTGTACAGAAAAGAAGAACTAGAGGTGACATGATAGTAGTGTTTCAATATTTGAGGGGTTGCCACAAAGAAGAGGGAGTCAAGCTATTTTTTAAAGCACCAGAAGGCAAGACAAACAGCAACGGATGGAAACTAATCGAGGAGAGAAGCAACTTAGAATGAAGGAGAAATTTCCTGACAGAACAATCAACCAACGGAACAACTTGCCTTCAGAAGTTGTGAGTGTTCCAACACTGGAGGTTTTTTAAAAAAGAAACTGGATAAGACATTTCTCTAAAGTGGTATAGGGTCTTCTGCTTGAGCGTGGGGGGTGGGGGTGGACTAGAAGACCTCCAAGGTCCCTTCCAACTCTGTTGTTCTGATTCTAATGCTTGGGTTCAGATTTATTTCCCAATGAATTGTTAATTCTTCAATTAAAAACCTAAAGGATATAGTTTGAACCTCAGCATAATACTTCACATTCTGTGCACTGGTTCATCACTTATGTGTGTGCATCTTATTTGTATGAAACAATGCTGACCCCCCACGTCACATCTTTTAATATAAACCTTCACATTTCTGCCAGCAAATGCCATCTGTCCAAACCTCAAATCTTGGAGGTCCGGCTTAATCCTCAGTGACTCTGCTGTCAACTTAAGAGTCGAGCTGTCAACTCAACGGGCAATACCAGCTCATAGAAAATTCAGCGCTATGAGATGCTAAGACATTATGTTTGAATGTTCTGCTATTGTTCCTCCTGGGGAGCTTCTCCTGTGATGAAAATGGCACATCCCCTTTGAAGGAAATCTTGAAGAAACTGTTTAGACATCATTAGCTAGTAAACCAATTCCCTGCCCTGAAGCCACCTGAACAATAACAATAAAATTGCAGGGTGCAAATTATGCATTCATAAATCCTGTACATTGCATCTAATCATCTCACGTCATAGATTCACGGTGCTGCCACGTGGTATGACTGAATCATGGAGCTACATTTTTCCCCCAAATCTTTTTACCTTGCCAGGGCAGAACATGGAAGGGTCCAAGTTCTGCTCCCTTCCACGGCACGAATAAATTCTCTGTTGTATATATTTCTCCAATATTGCGATGACCCGGGGCATGGCACAAAAGCAACTAAGTCACAAAAATAGGTAAAGTCCCTTTAATACGTCCAACTTGCCCCCAATGTCTAGTTATCATTGGCTGGAGAAAAACTCTCCCAAAAACAGCTTTCAAAGGGAAGAAATTCCATCCGAACCCAAAGTACATATAAATTATAAATAAAAACCAACACAAACCACACTGCAGCAATTAATGAGACAGGGCAGGGTAAGAAATTGAAGACATCAAAAGATAATGAAACACACACACTTGGGAGGATGGCAGAACTCAGATAAGACTTGACAAACCAGAATAATTTCACGCTTTGCCTCCAGTAACTTTGCCGTGCGCAGTTTGCCCTTTTAAACACTGTGTTCCCAGCTGCAGCCAATGAAGGGGATCAGGGCCCTTTCCTTCCCCATAAACCACACAACTCACATTGCTCCTTTCTCTGTTCCTCCCTGCCTGCCCTAGGATGAAGAGGGGGTGGGCCTGGGTCTTCCTCTGAACTCCCTCTGCCTTGCTGTACTTCTCCCCGGACTGTGCCCCTCCCCAGTTTCCTCCACAGCCATCAGAGCCAAACTCACACTCCCTGTCAGCTGTTCCACCTCTCCCTTGGAATCAGATTCCAACAGGGGCATGACAAATATAATCCCCTTTACAAAACAATATTTGTACATCAGGGTTGAACAGTGGGCTCCTTCATGCTATCTAAGTTGGTGGTTTTCTTGCAGACATTTCATGACCCAACTAGGTAACATCATCGGTGCACTGATGATGTTACCTAGTTGGGTCATGAAACATCTGCAAGAAAACCACCAGGCTCAGAGAGCACCAAGGAAACCACAGTGTGTTCTCTTTGTTTTGAAATGGGGGGAAATGATGTGAAAATGATGTGAGTCCTCCACTCCTCTGCTTACAACAGAATGCCTTATGCCACCAGATTTGAAATTTCAGGCTTAGACAACTTAGAACTATGCCACATTCGATCTGACCTAAGCGTAGCACATAAAATTATCTATTGCAATGTCCTTCCCAATATTTGGAATAGACTCTCCTGCTCAAGCAGGGGGTTGGACTAGATGACCTCCAAAGTCCCTTCCAACTCTGTTATTCTATGATTACCCATCAATGATTACTTCAGCTTCAACCACAAGCACACAATAGATACAAACTCAAGGTAAACCACACCAAACTCAATTGCAGGAAATACGACTACAGCAACAGAGTTGTCAGTGCCTGGAATGCGCTACCTGACTCTGTGGTTTCTTCCCCCAAACCCCAAAAACTTTAACCTTAGACTGTCTACTATTGACCTCACCCCATTCCTAAGAGGTCTGTAAGGGGCGCACATAAGCGCACCAATGTGCCTACCGTCCCTGTCCTATTGTTCCCATTTATTTGTATCTATTTCTTGTATTAATAATCATGTTTATTCTTACATCTGTTATCTAATACATATTTGACTAAATAAATAAATAAATAAATCTGTCAGGCATACTTCAAATGGCTACAGCAGGACAATTGCATGCTCAAGACATATGTGAACAGCAGCCAAGAAACTGTCAATGACAAGACAACGGAACGCAGGCTATTGAGTTTCTCTTACCTCCACTTCCTTTTCTAACTCCAAACCAGCTTCCACCAGGTTGCGTTCAAACTCCTCCCTCTGCTCCTCTTTTGCAACCTCCAAAGCATCTTGTGGAGCGACATCAATGATTTGGGCTTCTGGAGTAGATCCATCCTGTTGCTTCTGCTGGCTTTTGGCGGTCTCCCCATTAGAAATAATCGCCAAAGAGCCCGGCCTATGTAAGGGCCCTTGAGAATCCCCACCGTGGTCCGAGGAATGCTTTCGATAGTGGTAGACTAAGACGTAGTCCACTTTCCTTTTGCTGTCTCGGAAATGCATCCCTCCGGGTGACGGTGATGGACTGTCTGAGACACCAGACTGAGCCCCATCCACATAGTTGTTAATCACCTGGAAGGAAAGCGGAAAGTATTTAGCAAAAAATGCAATGAACAGAATCCCTCCTGTGCTTCCTACTTGTAAAACCAGAGGGAAAAAAAAAGAGAGAGTGTGTCAGATGGGCAGAGAATTTATATATTAACTGTTGCATTTGAAGGAACGGAGCAGATGGGACTCAGATTAAACCACGCTGGAGGTTTTGATTTCACAAGCTTTGGGCACCAAGGCATTTGACAGAGTACATAATTTTAGACGATCGATAGAAATAATCCCAGACTGGTGTGCAAAGGAGGAAAGTCCAGCCCTCTTTAAAAAAAAAAAGAGAGAGAGAAAGAAATAAAAGAACACTAAAGTTGGAGGAAGCTCACGTTTATTACATGTTCTCCTTTCCACACGTGCCATAGCTCATATTCCCTTTGCTTTTCCTCTTAGCAATATAAATAAAAGTATAAAATACATCCTCCTTCCCCTCTCCCTTAAGCTCATATACATCCTTAGCAATTCAAGGATTTAACCTGTTTCTCTCCAAACATATATACACACACCACTGAAATTCAGTAACCCTCAGTGTTCTGGTAGTCTTGGAAACCACCAAATATGCAGTTGTTGTTGTTTTTTAAATTGCAAAGTATTGTTTATATACAATGAACATAGAATCTAGGACTCAGCAGATTAGCAGAGTTCCACCTGGTTTGATATTTATTTAAAGAAATAATGTCCCAATCTATTGACTGTTTCTGATATTCACTAGCCAGCTGAGGCTCAATTAATAAACCAGTATTGACTTCCTTACGTTCATATACGTATCCTATTGATCTCAAGTAACCCACAATTGGGTGGATTCATATATTATGGAGTGCACAATGGCTTGTATCACTGAGCCAAAATATAGTTTTCTTAAGAAGTTAGAATTGCTAGACTGTGTGAATACAGTCAGATGATTTGGTTTTCAGTCTTACAATATTTAAAGGGCTGCCACAAGGAAGAGGGGGGTCAATTTATTTTCCAAAGCACCAGAAGGCAGAACAAGAAGCAATGGATGGAAACTCATCAAGGAGAAAAGCAACCTGGAATTAAAGAGGAATTTTCTAACAGGGAGGACCATCAACCAGTGGAGCACAGTGTTTCTGCTAACTAAGGAGTCGCAGGAAGGACATTTTGGAGGGGATCATTCTGAGAACCCATTTCATCTGCTCTCCAACTTAATATGACAAATATTTCATACAGGTATCCTTGGTTTATCATCTCAGTTGAGCCCAACCTTCCTTGTTGTTAAGCTGGACATATGTTGAGTGAGTTTTGTCCCATTTTACAACCTTGCTTGCCACAGTTGATAAGTGAATTACTGCAGTTGTTAATAACAAATTTGTTAAGGGAACCTGTATTCCCCCATTGACTTTGTTTGTCAGGTCGCAAAAAGGGACCACGTGACCCCAGGGACGCTGCGACCATCATAAATAGGCCAAGCACCCGAATTTTGATCATGTGGACCCTGGGGACAGGGCAACGGTCGTAGGTATGAAAAATGATCTCAAGTCATTTTTTTTCAGTCCCATTGTAACTCTGATCAGTTACTAAATGAGCTGTTGTAAGTCTGAGACTACCTGTATAGGAGACTGTGCCGTTGTAAGTTTGGTCATTAAACAAAAGGTTATAAGTTGAGGTACTATCTGTATGTGGTTAACTTCAGGAAGCAACGTTATGGTTTGTTTCTCTGTCTGAGTTCCAAGACAACAATGCTTCAGCTTCTGTGAACTCTCCACAAGAACAAGGGAATAGGGGGTTATGGTGTTATTGCCTGGGGAGTCATCAATTTGAAAACAAGTCCTCCTTAGAAAGCCCAGCTTAGCAACAGCATGCAAATAAGCAGGTAGCTCAATGTGCCCTTTTTGCATTTTTGTAAAAAAAAATAACAATACACCTTGTGAAATGCAGAATTCCTTATGCATGAGACATAGGCCAAGATCCCACTCTCTTCTTTTGAATGCCTCCAACAGTCTGTCTGTCTGTCTGTCTGTCTATCTATCTATCTATCTATCTATCTATCTATCTATCTATCTATCTATCATCTATCTATCTATCATCCATTCATGCATCTATCTATCTATCTATCTATCTATCTATCTATCTATCTATCTATCTATC